CCCCTGACCCCCCTGGCACCCGGGCTGGGCTTTGCAGGGCTGGGTCCTGCCCCCTAATCCCCCTGGCACCCAGGCTGGGCTTTGCAGGGCTGGGTCCTGACCCCTGACCCCCCTGGCACCCAGGCTGGGCTTTGCAGGGCTGGGTCCTGACCCCTGACCCCCCTGGCACCCGGGCTGGGCTTTGCAGGGCTGGGTCCTGCCCCCTAATCCCCCTGGCACCCAGGCTGGGCTTTGCAGGGCTGGGTCCTGACCCCTGACCCCCCTGGCACCCGGGCTGGGCTTTGCAGGGCTGGGTCCTGACCCCTGACCCCCCTGGCACCTGGGCTGAGCTTTGCAGGGCTGGGTCCTGACCCCTGACCCCCCTGGCACCCGGGCTGGGCTTTGCAGGGCTGGGTCCTGACCCCTGACCCCCTGGCACCCGGGCTGGGCTTTGCAGGGCTGGGTCCTGCACCCAGAGCATTCACTGCCCCCGAGCACCTGGCACCCCAGGGCTTTGTCGAGCTGGGTGTCACACGCCCCAGCCAGCCCCTGGCACAGCACTGACCCTCCCTCCTGCCGCTGGCTGGGCAGTGCAGGCTGGGCCTGTCTGAGCACGGGAAGCGCCATTTGGCTCCCTGATGCTGCTGCTTTGCAAGGACCCTGGTCCCTCGTGCCCGCCCCGGGCTGGAGGAAACCGGGCCCACTGGCCTGTGGCCATGCCTGGCCTGCCCCGGGCTCCCCGTTCATTCGCCAGGGCGGGCCCCAGCGGAGATGTCGCCTTCCTTGCAGGTGGTGCTCTGAGCCAGGTTCCCCTGCGAGTCCCTGCACAGAGGCCCGCGAGCAGCCGCGCTGGGATGGTCCCCTGGGGACAGGTAGGCTGGGAAAAGGAGTCTCTGAGCCCCAGGTGCAGGCCAGGCGGGGCTGACCCCAGCACGCGACCCAGGCCAAGCCAAGCCCTGCAGCCCCGCACACCCCATTCCCAGCATGTCTCGGGGGGCTGATGGCATACCGAGGAGCTATAGCAGAACCAAACCTGGCTGGCCTGAGGGCTACCCTAATCTCTGGGGGGACGGGGAGCATTGGGGGTAGGGCTGTGCAAGCCCAATTTGGAGGCCAGGCATCCCCCCTGTCCTGGCAAGTGGAAGAGCTGCCCATGTCCCCAAGTCCAGACTGCTCTGCCTTAGTCTTTAAAAAAAAAAAACTTTCCAGGCATGTCATTGATCACATCCTGCAGCAGTGAGTTCCACCAGTAGGGGTGCCACAAAGTATAAAATACTAAACAAAAAATACTGAACATGATGGGAAAAAAATGGGTTGAGAAAAAAAAAGACCAAACTTGTTAAGAAAAACAACAACAGGGGACCGAAGTCCTCGAGCAAAAAAACACCCCACACAAGAAAAGACAAGAGTCACTGCAGGCCGATACCGGACACCAGTGAATGACCCTGTCAGCCATCTCCACCATGCTGCACCTTTGCTTCCGACCATGGGATCTGCCTGCACCCCCTAAGCCAGGGAGAGGACTTCCTGCCCCTCCCCTCCCCTCTCCTAGACAGAGCCAGCAGCAGGGGGAGGGGGCAGGAGGCGAGTCCTCCCCATTGCACCTCAGTGTTTATTTCAGCTCGCGGGTGGCCCAGCCGTGGCTGCTGCCTGTTGGTCAGGGCCTCATGGCACTGGGCAGGCCAGCCCTGGCCCTCGATCGAGGCCTGGCCTGAGGGGTCGGGGGGCTTGATGTGCCAACCGGGGGGAGGGAGTCCATGATGCCAGGCAAAGGGGGTGCAGGGCTGTGTGGCAATGGGGAATCAGGCTGGAAGTGGGGGGGTGCATGCGGACTCCCCCTCCACAGGCTGACTGGTGGCTTTGCCCCCCCAGCATGGAGGCTGTTGAAAGCTGAGCGTGGAGGACATGCAGCCCTCGGGCCGGCAGACCCCCCAGCGGTCCAGGAGCCGGCTCAGCCCCAACCGGCGCCACAGCAGGCACCGGGCCAACTCCTTCGACGAAGTCCTGGTGGACGAGCTGGACATGCTCCAGGAGGCCGCGGCCACCGTCATCCAGGGCGCCCGGCGGGGGGACTACGGGACGGCCGTCGCCATCCAGGCCCTCTGGCGGGGGTACCTCGCCAGGCAGCGGACAGCCACCCAGCGGGCGGAGGCAGCTTCCTGGGAGGGCTATGGGGCCGAGCCAGGTCATCGCTGGGCCCAGCCAGATTACCGCAGGGCCGAGCCAGGACACAGCAGGGCCGAGCTGGGGTACCACAGGACTGAGTCGGGGTACCACAGGGCCGAGTCGGGGTACCACAGGGCCGAACCGGGGTACCGCAGGACTGAGCCAGGGTACCGCAGGGGGCGGAGGCAGCTTCCTGGGAGGGCTATGGGGCCGAGCCAGGTCATCGCTGGGCCCAGCCAGATTACCGCAGGGCCGAGCCAGGACACAGCAGGGCCGAGCTGGGGTACCACAGGACTGAGTCGGGGTACCACAGGGCCGAGTCGGGGTACCACAGGGCCGAACCGGGGTACCGCAGGACTGAGCCAGGGTACCGCAGGGCCGAGCCCGGGTACCACAGGACTGAGCCGGGGTACCACAGGACTGAGCCGGGGTACCACAGGGCCGAACCGGGGTACCACAGGGCCGAGCCAGAGCTGGAGGAGGAGCAGGCTGCTGTGGTGATACAGGCCCATTACCGGGGAGCCCGGGTACCACAGGACTGAGCCGGGGTACCACAGGACCGAGCCCGGGTACCACAGGGCCGAACCGGGGTACCACAGGGCCGAGCCAGAGCTGGAGGAGGAGCAGGCTGCTGTGGTGATACAGGCCCATTACCGGGGCTACCGGGTGCGGTGTGAGATTTACAACCAGCACTTGGCTGCCGCCATCATCCAGGCCCATTATCGGGGGTACCGGGCGCGCCAGGATTTGGCCGAGATGCGCCAAGCCGCCACCACCATCCAGGCCCACTGGCGGGGGCCTACTGCGCCGGCGGGC